CACGCACACGCACACACGCACACGCACACGCACACGCACACGCACACGCACACGCACACCCGCACGCGCGCGCGCACGCGCACGCGCACGCGCACGCGCACGCACGCGCGCGCGCACGCACGCATGCACGCACACACACACACACACACGCACGCACGCACGCACGCACGCACGCACGCACGCATCCCACATGCGCAGCATACACACACATGCGCAGCACACATACACACACACGCACACACACACTCACACACACACACACACGCAAACGCATACACATATACACACATACACGCACGACAGCGCACACACATGCGCAGCACACACATGCACACACGCACACACGCACACACACGCACACACGCACACGCATACGCATATACACACATACACACAACAGCACACACACACTCACACACACGTACACACACCATACACAAACACACACACACACACACACACACACACACACACACACGCTAGCACCGCCAGTGCACGCCTGGCGTGTTCACTGCATCAGGCACTCACGGTGTGTGCGCTACATACCGGGGCAGCCGCACACGCATAATGCACAGGACGCGCACGCGCAACACTCAACTAACACATACACATGACACGTACACCACAAACACACATCTCACAGCGTGGCAATTTCTCGATGCCGCAAAAGGGGGTGCGCTGGGGGCGCGGTCTCTATCCGCCTTGCACTCTGAAAGCGTGGCAAGAGTGCGCTTCATCGACACCGCAGGGGGTGCGCAGGGGGTGCGGTCGCTATCCTTCGCGCGCCTGCAACGCGTGGCAGGCGTGGCAACTTGTCGATGCCACAGGGGGTGCGCTGGGGGTGCCGTCGCTATCCGTCGTGCCCTCGTGGAGCGCGCGTGGCACTTTCTCGATGCCGAAGGGGTGCGGAGGGGACGCGGTCGCCATCCGTCGTGCCCCCGCAAAGCGAGGCAGGCGTGCACTTCGTCGACGCCACAGGGGGTTGCGCAGGGGGTGCGGTCGCTATCAGTCGCGCGTTCGCAAAGCGCGGCAAGCGCGACAGCTTCGCGACGCCACAGGGGGTGCGCTGGGGGTGCGATCGCTATCCGTCGTACACTCGCGAAGCGTGGCAGGCGTGGCACTTTCTCGACGTTGCAAGGGATGCGCTGGAGGTGGGGGCGCTATCCATCGCATGCCCGCAGAGCATGGCAGTCGTGGCAGGTTCTCGACAGCGCAGCGGATGCGGAATTGAGTGGGGGCGTTATCCGTCGCACGCTCGCAGAGCGCGGCAGGCGCGGCAGCTTCTCGACGCCGCGGGGGGGGCCGCGCGCGCGAATACTGCGAGGCGAACGCGAGTCAGACCACGGCGAGGTAGAGGGAGCCAGATAAACAAATATAGGGAAAGGAAGGGGGAGGTTGCATTGTAACTGTTGCGTGCCCGCGTGGAAAATGGCGAAGCACGATGTGACGTGCTATAGGATATTGGAGAAAAAACCAAATCATAATCTTATGCTGTTTTCCCCTTCACCCGTGAGGCTTTGTGTGTGTGCCGCCGCGCCCCGCGCGCGCCTGGCCGCTGGCCCTGGCCACAGCATCTGGGCCAATGCGGGGAGAGGCCCCGATCCTCCACCGCGCCCCTGTGGGCACCGGCCACCCGCGTGAGCCTGGGAGGGCCTCAATAGAGCCTCCCGCGCACACTACTGCGAGAGAGCAGGCATTCCTGCCGCACCGCACTTTACGAAGCACGGGCCACTCGCCAAGAAGGACAGCGACACATCCTTCGAACGCGTTGTTGCGAGAGAGCAGGCAATCCTGCCGCACCGCACTTTAGGAAGCGCAGGCCACCCGCAAGAACTGCCAATGCAGTATGAATGCTGTCTGCGCCGTAGGCGGCCTGGGAAGAAACGACCGCTGTTGTCACAACGGCCTCAAGAGACCATGGCCAGGCGGGGGGGAGGGAGGCGGACCCAAGATCTCTGCATACAGTCGCACTTACGATCATGATGCCGCACGCGGCTGTGCCGCCTCCCCGTTGCGGGGAACAAAGCATAACATCCGGATCAAGATCCGTCTTCATATGCTGTTTTCCCCTCCACCCGTGAGGCTTTGTGTGTGCGCCGCCGCGCCCCGCGCGCGCCCGGCCGCTGGCCCTGGCCACAGCGTCTGGGCCAATGCGGGAAGAGGCCCCAAACCTCCACCGCGCCCCTGTGGGCACCGGCCACCCGCGTGAGCCTGGGAGGGCCTTAATAGAGCCTCCCACGCACACAACCAACTCCCCTACCTCCACAGGCAGCGGGTGGTTGATGTCAACACACAAATCTCCAGATAAGCCCTGCGAAACCACGCCTTAGGACAGATGCCATCCGCCGAAGGGCCCTTAAGAGGACCCGTGCACGGCAGGCACGCTCCACTGAGCAAAAGGCACTGCGGCACAGCCACACCCACTGACCCTTTTAAGGAGGGAGGGCCAAAAGGGAGGGCAAACACCTGATTGCACGCTGCAGCCGCTTTTGGCCACGTTCCGGCAGCGACCGCGATCCGACATCCACCATCGCTTGATCGATGTATCCGCGCGCTGGTTTCAGGGGCCCCCATCGGCCCAGCGCCTGAGTGGCATCATAATTACCATATGTCGTAAAATTCCATGTGGCACCACCGCGCCTAAGGCAACAGGGCGTGAGGCTGGGGCTCTGTTGCCCGAAAAACTTGGCAAGGTCAACGATGTGATGCTTGAGGGCGGCGAAGCCCCCCGGAAAAAGAGTGTCAAAGTCGCCGAGAGGGGCCAACACTCGAATAAGGAATTGAATGATCAAAGGGTCGTACAGCGTCACGTGCTTTACCTGCCCATGTCGCTTCGCCCCTTTGCTGTCTGGGAGCGATAGCAACACGGCGGTGCCCCCGCCTAGCACGGTGAACTGCCGCTTGACGACGCTCACGACTTCGCCAGACCGAAGCAAGCATGCGAAGCCGACCAGCAAGGCAGCAGCCGTGCGGTTCCAGCCCCGGAGTGTTGCTACTGCAGCCATCCCTTGGACTAGGCCCCTGGACAAAGGCAGCGCACGGCGACGACGGGACGACCGAGCCCAGTTTGACATGTACAGCGTGGAGGTCTCGAGCTTCCGCCTCGACCGTGGGTAGCGGCGCTTGAAGCCACACACCACGTCGTTGCCCCAGTACTGCGGCAGGTCATCCTGATATAGGTGGTCGATGTACTCCCCCAGAACATCATCTAGTTCCTCAAAACTGCTTGGCATGCGAATTCCACGAGAAGAAAGGTGGCAAAAGAAACGGTGGACGGCACGGCGGTAGCGAAGGATGGTAAGCGGCTGGATGTTGACGTGCTTAATGCGTGCTTTGCGTGGACCTGGAGCCGCGCGTCTGCTACCCGGCATCGCTGGCAATGAGGGCGCCCTCCAGCAGCCTACTGGCTGCGTCTGACGCATTCCAACTACTGATGGTCCACGAGCACAGTGCGTGCAGATCCGCTGCCAAAGAGACTGCCGCAAACCGCCGAAAGGGCCGGTTGAGCGCCCTCGCGCTCGACCGACCCTTTGCCGCAACACAAGATGCGACGCGAGAATCGAATATATGAAAAAAAAAAAAAAAAAAGTTCCTCATGCCGGTCCGGGTCGGCCACTCGTGCCCGGACGTACGTCAGGAATGCAATGAATTCGAGGACGCTGATGCGTTGGACATGCCTCCAGGCATAGCGCTGCACAACCTCCCATTTCCATATCGGAGCTGGGCATGGCACCTGCTGCCGCGACCCTTCGACGAGTCTGCGTCAGTAGACGCACGTCTGAACCGCGATAGTCGGCTTGCCCGAGCAAGCTCTGGAGATGGTCCTGTTCCTGGCCTTGCCCTAGTTTGTCCAACATCCGCTCCAGTGCCAAAATGGTTTCGGAGTGCGTTCCGCCCTCTCGCAGCCTGTCTGTGCTAGCCGCGAGGCTGCGGCTGATCCACGACGCCCGCTCGCTCGGCTGCGGGGGGGGCGTGGCCAAACTGAGCTCGCGAGGCGAGTCCAAAACAACGCGGGCGCACGCCTTGCAAACTCGTAGGGGTAGACCTCCTCCTCCTCCTTTTCCTCCTCCTCCTCCTCCTCATGAGCGCCCTGCCCCACGACCCTGCGCAAGCCCGGGCCATGCGCGGATGCCCGCGGCAGGGGCCCATGTCTAGGGCAAGGTGCAGCGCGCTGCAGTTATCGAGGAACCCAAGGCCCACGAAGCGCGGCCCCCCGTGGCAGCAGACCCAGACCTCTGTGAAAAAGACGTCCTCGGACTGCTGCATGGCAATCGCGGGTGTCAACTGCCACCCAAGCCCACCTAGAGGGCGCATCACCACCGCCACCTCGCCGTGGAGGAGGCGATGCTGCAGACGGCCCAAGGCAAACGCGAAATTGGCGTTGCGACGCCTCGTCCGCTGCTGCTGGCGCCCTCTGCAGACCAGCTCGCGCCGCCTCTACGCGACCTCGCCAGCGTGCCCGACCCTCTTGCTGCGCAACTCCTCGCGCAACTCGCTCGCGCGGAATGGCAGAGCAGGTGCCGCCCAGAGGTCCGCCGCTGCCTCCCACACGTGGGAGAGGGTGCGGCGGTGACCCTCGCCGAGGGCACGGGGCGCGTCCAGGCGCACCGGCACTGGCGCCCAACCGGCGCACGCGAGGAAATTCAGGGCGTGCAGCGTGGCTCTGGCGAACAGAAATAGCCCCGAACTGTCGCAACCTTCAGCCGGGGCCAGGTGCCCCGCGGGGCCGTCCCTCCAGAAAGCTTCGGCGAGGTCCAAGTTTATCGGTAACAGTTCGGCCCTTCGGGGCTCCGAGGAAGGGGCAGATGCATCGGCGCGATATGACGGAGCACGATGCGATGGAGATGCCTCTCTCGACGACTGTGCGGCCCCAGGCCCGGCAGGGTCCGAAGAGGCTTGCAGTCGTAGCCAAAATTTACCCTAACGCGATGGGCCAGTCAAAACTGCCAGCGCTAACGCTGATAGAGCTTCATGGGAATCGTTGCACCGACCAGCAGCGCGTCGCAGAGCGGCCTGCCACTCGGCGAGGATCTGGGCAGAACCGAGCTCCGCCGCGAAACTGGTGCGACACGCGGGCGTCCACCCGGGAGTGCGCGCCGCGTCGCCAGCCACCGGGCTGCGGGTGGACGCTGGCGTGGCGCACGCTCGCTGGCCTACTGACCTCTCCCCTTCCTGTCCTTCCCGTCCTTCCCCTATGCCCTTGTGCTGGCGGCCGTTCTTGTCCTTGGCCCCCTTGCCGGAGCTGCCAGGAGCGTTCCCTGAGTTCCGCCACTCGTTGTCGAAGCCGTGCCCCTTGCCCCGGCTTTCGAGCTTCCGCTGCATCGCCAGCTCCTGTGTGGCCATCTGCTCCTTCCCCATGGTCGTCAGCGTCGTGTCGTCCTTCTCCACGAGCTCCAAGAATTGCGCACGGTCCCAATTGCCGTGCCGGCTGGCCATTTCCACCGCCTTCAACCTCATCGTGAGGACATCCGCCGCAAACGCGGTCCGGCCCCGTGCTAGGTGGTCGAGGGCCGCGCACAAGGTGGCCATCTCCCTGTTGTTGCGCAGCCCTGCCCCCGTCAGCGGTTGCAGGACGCGCAAGTAGTAAGACTTGGCGGCGGCTGGGGTGTCGTTCTTCTCCCAGGCGTGCGCCTCCCCCTCCCTGCCCACCTTGTCCGCCATCAGCTGGAGGGACCTGCAGGACAGGAGGCCTGGGTGCTTCCGCGCCCAGGCGACGAGCCGCGCCTGGGAGTCGCGACTCTTGGAGGAGAAGGCGTCGCGAAAAGACGACGAAGACGAAGAACTGCGGGGGCGGCGAGACCTGGACCTGGCCCGCCTGTCCCTGCCAGGCGTGTCCGACCGCCGCTGGCGATCGCGGTGACGGCGCCGGTGCTCCTTGCGACCCTGCGCCGCCGCCGTAGCTGCAGCGCACGTCCCGAAAGATGCACGCGGCGCTCCTACGCGCGCAGCCTCGGGAGACCGTGGCTGCACAGGCCGGCGGCTCCGCGAGCGGCCCCTGACCTCCTCCTGGTCGTCGTAACGGCGGCCGGCGCCGTCGTAACGGCGGCCCGCGTCGTAACGGCGAGCCCGCGAGCGACTCCTCGCGCGACGGCCGCCCTACTGAAACCGCTGACGCTCCTGATGGTCCTGGCGCTCCTCGCCGAGGCGTGCAGGCGTAGGGTCACGACCCCGTCCCACGCTGGCTTCGAGGCGCCGCAAGTCGCCTTCGACGCCGCCCACCGGCGCGAGGGGCCCATCAAGGAGAACTGGTCGGGCAGCGCCACCCTGGCCCCGACCGCGCGCCTCCTGGTCCCCGGGGCCGTCCGCGGCCCGCGTACCCAGGGCTCCCGCGGCCGCATGGCGGCCGCGCAACTCGTCCAGGATGCCCTTGCGCCGCTGCTCCGAGAGCCAGCCGACGACGGCGAGGTCCGCCTCGAGCCCGCTGCCGTTCAAGACGCGCCACTTGTAAACCGGCGTGATCTCCCGGCCCCGGAAAACCGTCTCGTCGTCGTCGCCTTTCCCCGCCGTCGCCCTGAACAGGCCTGGGTTCTCCGCCTTCTGGCTCTGGAATATCCACCAATGATGATATTGATCTTCGACGTCGAGAACGCGGGCTTCAAAAAGGCGAGTCCGAGGCCCATGGCCAATGACCTCGACCACGCCCGTCCCGCAAGAGTCCCCGAACTGCTCGTGCCAGAGTTCGACCTCCAGGACGTCGCCAATGGACCACGAGGCGCGCTCCGCGCAGAGCGCGTCGATACCCGGCCCAGTCCATGGGCCCACAACTGCATGCGCCATGCCGCACCCCCGCGCTATGGCCTCTGGCCCGCCCGCCAGAGGACGACCTAAAGCAAGGGGGGAAGGCTATTTAGGGCTTTAGGGCTATGGGGCTGTAAGGCTACAGGGCCACATGGCCAGAGAGCTATAGGGCTATTGGGCTATAGGATTATGGGGCTGTAAGGCTGTAGGGCTATAGGGCTATAAGGCTATAAGGCTATAGGGCTACAAGAATAAAGGGCTATAGGGCTACAGGACTATAGGGCTATATAGAGCTACCGGGCACCCGGGCACCCGGGCACCCCCGGGCACCCCCGGGCACCCCCGGGCATCCCCGGGCACCCCCGGGCACCCCCGGGCACCTGGCCGCCGGCCACCAAATCGGCGCCGCACCTCACCTAACCATATGAATCCGCTAGGACACCTACAGAGGCAAGCTCTGATTGGGGAATGAACACACGCGACATAAAATCAGTATGTGGTTTTCCTCGACGACGTAATTAGCAAGTCCGTCGTTTTTTTGTTGACCGGACGTTCTCTGGGCCTGGGGTTCCAGAAAACCAGAATCCAAAGAAATTGCAAAACCAATGCGTCGCTTGACACGTCGTTGACAAAGACCTTCTACAAGCACTTGTTGTCCGATGTCTCAAGCGAATTCTTCAATGCGATGAACATATCGTCAAGAATCATGATTTCGCTTGAGACATCTTCTTTATAACAAAAACAAGATACCCTCATTCCTTGTTGCTTGATGTCTCAAGCGAAACCTTGATCATTGAAGACATCCGTGTAAAAATGCCCTCGTTTGGGACATCGGGCAAAAAGCAATGCGTGACAACCAAAAGTTTGAAGGGTGTCTCAGGCGAGCCCTCGACTGTTGGAACAACCTTTATAACGATCAAGGTATTCGTCGTTGTCGCCCTCCCCCTTTTCTTCTTCGCACTAGCAGACTCTACGGTTCCTCCTCCCCTTCCTCGAGCCAGCAACAACGCCGACAGGTTGCCAGCGAGCGTCAAAAAAAGACGGCAACTTGCCGCAACCACCAGAAGTATAGCTGGATCCACCTCCGAGAGAAATAATTATACATATCCAACAACACCCAGACAAGTAACATCCTACTCTTGCAGTGGGCTAGGTAGGGTGCCAAAGTGTTGGGCATTCTGGTCAGCGCGGTGATGCGATGGCTTAAGATTAGGGTAGGCTAAGCGCTTCAGGCTTAGAACTCCTGCTTCTGATTAGAGTGTGAGGATCAGGGTGTTGGTGATAAGGTTGAGTGATGATGACATCAGGTCTAAGGTTAGCGCGCAAGGGTTGATATGTGATGATTGGGCTCGTGATGGTAGGATAAACTTGCTTTCGGTTGATGAGGTACTGTAAGAGTATGTGTTTCGGGTTAGGATGAAATTAAGGTACGTGCTAGAGTCTGGTCGTGATAGGGCGTTGCATTTGGGGCGTCAGGGTCAGGAACAATGCTAAGGGTTAGCGCGTTAGGGTGAGGGTCGGGGCGCTAGGGTCAGCGTCTTAGTGGCACGGCTGGGGGTTCAGTAGTAGTCTGATTTGGTTACAAATCAAGTCTTAGGTGTAGGTGTTACGGCCCAAGTTTATGCTTAAGGTTAGAATCCGGAGGATAGCGTGCCACGGCCATGGTTAGCTTTACTTTAGGGCGGAACCGTCACGGGTCGGGGGTCCGGTCATGGTTGCCAGGGGTCGAAATGATAGGATTCGCATGAATGCTTCAGGGCAGTAGGACGCGGGTGTTGAGGCAGGGTTCTTGCAGAACGGTTAGGGTAGCAGGGTCAGGATTGGGGCGTTCGGTTTGGGAGCGCGGGGGGTCGGGTGTTAGGATTCGAGTGACGCAGCGAAGATGCGATGTTTAGGCTCGGGCGTCACGGCTTGAATTCGGGAGTTCGGGTCGGTCAGGGCAATAACGTTCCAGTGCTAGGGTTAGGACGTTCGACTTGGAGTGCTCGGGCCATGGCATTGGTATTTGTTGGCTTAGGCTTATAGTCTGCGAATTAGGGCGACACGGCCAGGGCGTCAGTGCTGAGAGTTAGTTCGATGGACAGGGCGTTGAGGAGTGGGTTCGGGTGTCCTGGTCAGGGAGTTGGGGCTAGGGCGTCATGTTTAGAGCCAGCGCTTCAGGGCGCAGTGTTGCCTTGCTCGGGGTAGTGCCCAGGGTCAGGATGGTCAACGCTCGTTGTTTTCAGATCAGAATGCTCGGATTGGGCGCGCCAGTTATGGTTGCAAGGTTAGGTTTGGGTGTAAGGACTAAGGTCAACTTTCAGGGCTAGGCCGTTAGAGCCAGGGTACCAGGGCCAGCAGTTAGAGGGTCGGGGTGTCAGGGCTATATCGCCAAGGGCTCTAATGCTCAAGCTCGCACATGGATTAGGGCTAGCGCGCTAGGGCTATGACGTCAGAAACATGGCCACCGCAATACTTAATTCCCCCACTCCCCTGACCCTGAGCACGAACCCTATTCTTTCAAACTACTTCTGCCATCCGAATCATGACAAACAGTCATCATCATAGAACCCTAATCCAAACATCCCACACCTAACATGTGACCCTAGCACCCCAATACACACACTGAGACGAATCCAAACCCTACCATCCGAACCGCTTCACCGCAACACTAACGGAGCAGCGCCAACACTTTAACCATGAGCCGAATACCTTATCCCTGGCCCACGCAATCCTGGCACCAGAATCCTAAACCCTAACTGGCCTGTATACCCCCAACCAAAATCGTGCCATCTTGACCCTGACGCTTTGACCCATGCCGTGTCGCGCCAATCCCAACTTCCTAATTCTACACCCTGAACCTGACGCCCTGAATTAAACGCTGCGGGGCCACAAAAGGCAACGACGGGGCCACTGATGGTAGCAACTGGGCCACGTAGGACTGCGACTGGGCCACAGAGGGCGACAGCGGGGCCACGAAGGGTATGCACATGGGGCCACGACGGGCGCGAACGAGCGGGAGCCACGAATGGCATACAAATATTGGGCCGCGGAGGGCAAGGACGGGGCCACTGAGGGCAACGGGGCCACGAAGGGCAGCGAGGGGGCCACGAAAGGCGACAGCGGGGCCACGAAGGGCATACACATGTGGGACCACGAAGGGCAGCGGGGGGGCCACAAAGGGCTGCAACGGAGCCACGAAGGGCAGCGAGGGGGCCACGAAGGGCTGCAACTTTGCCAGGAACGGCAGCAAGGGGGCCACGAAGGGCTGCAACGGGGCCACGAAGGGCAGCGAGGGGGACACGAAGGGCTGCAACGGGGCCACGAAGGGCAGCGAGGGGACCACGAAGGGCTGCAACGGAGCCACGAAGGGCAGCGAGGGGGACACGAAGGGCTGCCAAGGGGCCACGAAAGGCAGCGAGGGGGCCACGAAGGGCTGCAACGGGGCCACGAAAGGGCAGTGAGGGGGCCACGAAGGGCCGCGAGGGGGCCACGAAGGGCTGCAACGGGTCCACGACGGGCAGCGAGGGGGCCACGAAGGGCTGCAACGGGGTCACGACGGGCAGCGAGATCCCGATTCATAAGTAATCTGTGAGGGAGTCCTGAGCGTGAGCGCGACTCCTGGGTGCCCGACTGTCGGCAGCGCGGCGCTTGAGTTAATTGCAGGAAACTCCAACGCAAGGGCGTTATTCTTGAGTAATTTGCAAGCGAGTCTCCAGCGAGAGCGCGACTCCAGAGCGCCGAGAGAGCGATCCCTGAATAAATTGTAAGGAAGTCCCAAGCGAGAGCGCGATTCCTGAATAAAATGCGAGGAAGTCTCAGGCGGGAGCGGGGGTCCTGGCTAAATTGTGAGGACGTCTCAAGCGGGAGCCGTTGTTGTTGTAACCCGGGGGCCAACAACACACCTTGAGGACGAAAACTTTCCCTGATAAAAAAAGGCGAGCGCCGGGAGGGGCACTTCAATTGAAACAATAAGATGTGCACCGGAAGGGGGGATCAACAATAAATGATGATTATTCAGGAGAGGGTTGGTTCAACAATAACAAGAACAACGACGACGACAACAACAGCAACAACAATAACATATTTTAAGACTGTTCGCTCTTACTGGCACGCGTGTCTTGCAGTCTGTATACCCCAACCCTCGATACCCGCCCACTTCGTCTTCGATTGCACCCCCTTTCGGGGGAAATATTTTCCTTGTCTGCCATTGACTGAAATGTGAAGAAGTCTCGAGCGAGAGCGCCGTTCCTGAGTTCGGGGGGCTCTCTGGCCAGGGGCTCTCGGAATTCCTATGGACAAATATCGAAGAGGAGACCTTGTCGCCGTGTCCGGGCCTCCACCAACTTGCTTCAATTTTGGGAAAGTCTCGAGCGAGAGCGCCGTTCCTGAGTTCGGGTGCCTTCTTGGCCAGGGGCTTTCCGAGAACATCGTGCGGAAGTATCGAGCAGGAGCCCTTGTCGTCGTGGGTGGGCCTCGGCCAATTCAATTGAATTGCGGGGAAGTCACGAGCGAGAGCGCCGTTCCTGAGTTCGGGGGCCTCTCTGGCCAGGGTGTCTCGGGGTAAATTGTGAGGAAATATCGAGTTGGAGCCGTTGTTGTCGCAGCTGGGCCTCCAAGGGCCCACATTCAGGCTCAAGCCAACGCTCGAGCGGGAGCTTTCCTTTCATAGAAAATATAGCTGGCGTCGAGGCGAGAGCGCGCGGAACCGCTTCAGGAGATCAACAATAATTATTCTTCAGAAATGAATATTCAACACCATCAATCATTATACCCTCATGCGCGATGCTTCCACACGCAACATGTGACCATCATGGTAACCATCCCCATCATGGGATATTATTGTTCTATCGCGGGGGTCCGTTATTCCCATTCCCTAATCTCTCGCCCAATGAGGTCTTGCAAACACCTCCTCCGAGGAATTTTAACTTATCTCGCCTCGAAAACACATGCCCGCGTCCTGCTGCGCCGATGCGAGACCGCCAGTGGAGCCCCAGCCAAGGGTAAAGCACAAGGAAGTATCGAGCGACAGGATTGGTTTGGTGGGGATGGGGGCTGTC